TGTTTTTTTACTCTATACGCCCTCTTGCGTGGTAAATTATTTTTTCCTGTGCGTATTTCCCAAAGCCCGATGTTAGTATAATATAATGCTATATTGAAACGTCAATAAACTTGTGTATTTTTTTTTCATAATAAAGTTTAATGTTCATTTTTTAGTTTTGATGGAAGATTATCTGTTATTATTCAGTATGTAATTTGTTTTTTGTAAGTCTCCATATTGCAAATGTATTTTGAAATAAAACTTATTACTATGTATTAACGTACTCGTACTTAGGTATTTGAAAGGTAATAAAATGCATTTGTTTTATTGAATACTAGCTTTCCGCCCGTGCCTTCGAGCGCATGGTATTTGATTATTTATTGTCGTCTATAAAAACTATCCTATGTCCTTTTCTAAGCTGTACCTTATTTGGGTTTAAAAACGTAACAAAGACACATTCACACACAGACAAAGTTACTTTAACTTTTATATTATTAGTATGGTTTTTATGAACTAGATTTTTAAAGATTGCCAATAATAAAAATTCATAAAACAAGAGAGAACAAAAAATTGAAAATCCCCCATTCTATGAATATAAAAAATCGCCATCAACATCGAACGCTTCAGAAACGAATAAATAAATTTCAATTTATTTCATGAGACTTGCACGATGGGAGTGTTAGCGAGATGATAGGTAGTAGGACAGGGTCTATAAATAGCAGGGTCTATAAGTAGCAGTCGACAATGGTCATACTTGGCAGGCTGCACCGTTAGTGACGGGGAGTATGGCGCCGGCATGCGGCGGGCGCCGGTTAGAGGCGGCTTCTCCCACTTTTTATCCCCGGTTCAATGCGTCTAACTTAACATGTTTTACGATGCTAGTGACTGGTAATTACCTAGAAGTATAACGACCATCATGTGATCTAACTCCTAATGAGTTGTGGATAATGTTGATACTTTTTTATAGATTTGTTTTAAATATAGCAATTTAGGTACTGTTTTGAAAATCATTTTTGATTTTTTTTGTATAAGATAGATTAGACAAAATATTCACGAATGGCGTTGGAATAGCTCTATTATATCGTCTCTTTTTTCGGTAGATCTACGTATGCGGTATAAATGTAAGATTTTCCACGAACTTTTTGCACGTATCTGAGCAATGTACGAAGTGTTTTTCGTCTAACCAAATGTTTGCGTCTTTCATTATTATTAAGTATAAAAGGAAAACCCAATCGGAATGACGTTGTTGTTTAAAAACATATAATTTAAGACATGATCTTGCCCGCGACTTCGTAGTATTTTAAGTTTAAATATTAATTTACATCATTTATTTCAAGTCCTTTAACCCCTCCCTTTGCGACAAAATGGACGTTACGTCGTTTCTTAAAGGCGTGAAAGCGTAAGAAAACACAGAGTTACTTTCGCATTCATAGTTAAGTAGGAATCGAAAATAGTCGCTAAAATTATTAACTATGTACAATTATAAACACAATTCTATATGGTTTAATATTATATTCTAAACTGATTCCAACACTATGTCAATAATTCAACCGAGCGGTATATCGGCGCGATTTTCATCTAATGTCAATGTTAATGTCAAAGTGACAGTGACAGTTCACTTACAATCGATAAATAGTGATACCCATGGTATTCGATATTTTTAACAATAAGTTTTTTTATTTTTTTTATTTATGACCAGAAAAAAATACAAAAAATATTATAATCGTTAATTTGCCAAACTGCGTAACAGTTTATCGGCAATAAATCCTACGCTTTTTACAAATTTTCTTATTTGCATCACTAGCTGATTCTGACCTATAAAAACTCTTATCTTGACTAGCTAGCGCAACTGCGACAAAAAAGGGGGTCAGAAAAAATGTAACGGCGAATTAAATCCCCCCATGTAACCGCCGGCAGGGTCCAAAATCTTCGAAAATTGCGTTACATAATACTTGAACGGCCACTAAAACAAAAACATTGATAAAAATTATTATAAACTTAAATAAACTTCTTTATGTAAACACTTCGTTGTTTTATAAAATTCGCCATCATTTCATCATATACAAAAAGAGAGTAAAAACCTCGGATATTTGGTACAAGATCCGATATAAAATAAGCAACATCCTAGGTACATTACGCATTACATTGCCAGAATAAAAATTTCAAAATTCCTCTTGATTTCTGTTCTGTCTAAATTTCTGTCATTATTACAAAATTTGTAGAGAAAATTATTATAAAATGAAAATATGTAACAATTTTAGTTTTGCTTAATATATTTAAATCGTTAGTATATTTATCGTTTTTATGAAGAAATTGTGCCTAAACTGTTTAAACAAGAACTCCGGGAAAGATCGACTTATCCATGGATCAGGTACCCGAGACAAAGAATTGTGAAGAAAAATTGACTATATTACAAAGACTTCTATTATAAAAAGGAAATATTGGTTGTTTGTTTGTTGGCATCGAATAGGCTCCGAAATTACTGGGCCGATTTTAAAATTAATTTTAAAAAGAATTTTGTATGGTGACATAGGCTATAATTTACGCAGGGAAGTCGTCGGAAAACAACTAGTATGCTATATTCAGGTGACTTTATTTGAAGTAGGGTGAAAATTCTTCGTTTCATTATAATTTCTTTGTTTAATCTATTAATAGTAAATTAAACAAAGGAAATGTACCACCCAACTTCCAAAGAAGTTTCGTAAATTTGGTATCTTCATTTTATACTACAGCCCAAAAAGGAGTGTATTGTGTTTCGGATTAATGTATGTACATATAAGTATGTGAGATTTCAATATTGGGGATGATTGAACTCATTTATATAATAAATATTATTTTAATTATAACAATACGGGTATCAAATTAAAGGTCTTGAAGAGTTCATTAAAAAAAAATCAAAAACGAAAACGCGACTGTCAAAATTTAATTAAAAATAAAATAAGCAAGTCGTATTATGGCTTGGCTAAACCAAGTTATCATTGCAGTCGGAGAAACATTCTGTGAAAATATTGTAACCTAGAGATCCTCCGACAATTTTGTTTATTAAATACCATAATACGACTTGTTTGTTTTGTTTTTAGTGAAATTTTGCCAGTCTCGTCTTTTATTATAACATTGATTATTTATATTTAGTAAATAACCAGCGCGGGTGCTCGAGTATGTACTATATTTCGTAAGACTTCTTATATTTCTAAGAACGTTTTATTAGTATTTGTTATTTAAAAAAAACAGTATTTCTAGTTGTTATTTGTATTACAAACTAGATGATCTGGTTTACTTCGTATCTCCTCTTACCGTTTAAATCTTCGCTGGACTACGACAACTACGACAAACATTTGAAAACCAAAATTGTATATTCCATAAAATTGTGTCTTTGTCGTACAATAAACATTTGCAAGTTTAATATGTTATTCTTGTCAGTAACTATAAACTACTACTTGGTAGTATAATGCTGCAGCTTTAACAAAAATGTTATTTATTTCTTGTGATCATTTTTAGGTTATAACTCCCTAGTTAGTTAGTTATAAATCGGCATATCAAAGGATGTTATTTGATTAATTGAAATTAATTTTAGTGACTTTCTATTTTCAGACTCGAGGGAAATATAACGGTTTAGAGTCGCCAGTGAACAGACAAACATCTATGAGCACTCTTATTATGTGGAATATTTCTAAAGCACTTAAAACGAATCCAAAATTAGATTTAAAGGTACCTTTTATAATAATATAATCATCGCGTCAGCAGCTACTATATTTCCACTGTTAAGGCGCGGGCCTTTCTTGTGGATGGAATTGAATCGTATAGGAAAAATGGGTTATATCCCACCACGCGGGTCCAGTGCGGATTGGTGAGTGTTAACGACTGCAAATATAACCAGGTAGCATGGAGGAACTCGAAATATATATGTATGAAATTTTGCTCACCTATCTTATGACCGACTCTTGTGAAATTTCTTAGCCTCCGCATCGTAAATTAATTATTGTGTTATCTTCTCAAATAACGAACTCTTAAACTATTTTTTAATAAACGGTTTAAAATAATTAATAAACGTACAGTTTATTGAGACGTATTTTGGTAAAAAAAAAAACAATCGAAAAAGTCAATTTTGTGTGCTCGCCCTCTTTATAAGCTTGTTCGATTGCAATAAATACTTATTTATTGTTCATGTTCTGGAGAGCTAAACATCAAGGATAAGACATGTTGAGTATCGAGATGATTCCGTTGGGAGATGTTTGTATTTTTATGATTTCGCAACATAGATGTGTTAGTATTTAGGGAGCAGGCACGGATTTTTTGAAATTCATTAGCCGGATCACTAAACGCTCGAACGGCAATCCAACGTGCTATTAAACTGGCGCTATAAAAATACGCGGTCGGCGGTAAAAAGAGGATAAATATCTTGGAATATCGATAATACCTAATAAATACCTTGGATATTAGAGCCTCGCGCGATCTAAGTGCAAATTCATTTCACGCGATCTAAGTGCAAAAATCCATCACACACGTCCTTTTTTGGTAACAAAGCATTTTATGCCTAAAATCAGGGCTCTCCAATTACAAGAATCTACACCTCAAAGGGCGAGGTCAAAGCGCAATGTGTCTACTTATGTTAAGCGTAATACCTCGCGTGAAGGGAAGGATCCGGGATACAGCACGGTGGGCTTTAGAGTATTGAAATATGTCCTAGGTCACTGGATGGCCGATCTAAGTATCGTTAAAAGTCAATACGACTTTTTAATATCTACTAAAACATATTAAAATTTCAATTCAGGTGTTCATAAATACGTCCATAGTGATTTTATACTCCACACAAGTGAGGAATTAGATTTCCGTTCAGACGAATATAGAAAATAAACTCACCTGATTTGACAAAAAAAAGATTTCAATGTATTTGGCTACCGTTTATAAAAATAACAATGCACGGTACAACGGTATTTAAAACAAGAACCTAAAAAATATTGAAGGCAATGTTTTAACTTTGTAGTCTGCTATTCGAGCCACCCAGGAGCGACTTATGAACGATGCCATCAAAGACGATATTGTCGAGTCACAGGTTCCCGAAGATCAGTATCTTACATGTGCGATACTTGCCTGGCAACAGCTCGGACACAAGGGCACCGATAGTCTCTATAAGTAATTTTTACCCGCTATACCACTATGTATGTAGCCGATTTGCACGCCCGCTGCTTCTAAGACGTCATCATCTCCCTGGTTCCATTCCCGATCAGGTCAATGTAGAAAATGAACGTTTTCGTTTAAGATCCCTGCAGTGCCCTGTAAAGTGCCCTATAGTTTTTTCATTTAAAATTACAGCTTAATTGGAGCTTATTGCTTTGTACAATTTAAAGTTTGTTTTATTTTTCGTATAACTGCCGTCTTAAGCTTTTTACATTTTCTTCAACTGAAATAAAGCATATAATATCTATACTAACATAAAAACATTTGCATTAAAATTTGATTATATTTTTAGTTTTGTTGAAAGTTTCAGTTTGCCTTTAATTTTTCCTGATTTTCTAAATAACAGGCATCTAGGTATTTCGTTACTATTATCGTTATCAATTATAATGTCCATGGCCTTTTACATGCAAATTCTTGATACTTTCCCGTAATTATATGATTATTATTGCATATAAGTACATTCATTGAGCACGTGCTGAGTACGAGAATCACATTCAGCTCAGGTTTATGCAGGCCTAATGCTATAATTATATATGTAAATAGTGTTAAAGAAGATGCGGGCCTGCTATATATATTTTAATGATATTCTAAGAAAAATAAGGACACAAATTAATGGGCCGTTCATGACGTTTTAAATTATTGTGAGAATTTCTTTTGAGTACAGTCGTCAGCACGTCAGGCTATTCAAATCTGTCAAATTATTTCATTTGAATGATTTTAATTTCAAACCTTAATGTTTTGATGGGAGCGTTTAAAGTCAACTGGAGAAATATGACAGTTCTTATAGCCTGACGTACCTATTATTGACTGTACATAAGTATCAAAGATAAAAGTCGAAGTTTTAAGTTGCAAGTAAAATTTTTATATTTCATTTGTATTTTTAAATAAACAAAAACATATATTTTTATAAATACAAAATATACTAACATATTACATAACTATACATAGATATTGTCTCGGTTTTATGAAATCGGTAATGCATGTCTAAGTAATGATGATAGAATTAGAACTTAAGAATTTAGTAAGAGGGTTTATTAGATTACTTTTTCTTTATATCTTTTCTATTAATAGTTGCTGATTCTATATTTTAGTTATTACTTATTTATAACCTACTCTAAATTAATATTAGGTTTATTGAAACAAAACGAAAAGAAGAGGAGCAAGCTGTCGAAAAAAATAAGGAATTCGAAAGAGTTTTAGCTGCTAATAAGAATAAGCGCCTTAGTCCAGGGAGTTTTATCAGTTACAATGGCCCTAGTCTCAATGACAACAGTTCTACACACTACGCTAATGCTGGTCCTGTTGTTAAATTGCCGGTGGAAACAAAAATTGTCATGCGAATGGATGCGTGCAGTAAATGTGCACGGCCTCCAACGAAAAAACCAGAAAAAGTGATCATGGACAAGATTGATGCGGTAAGTTATGCACTTGGATAGTATTATAATATCTACGGTCCTAAAGTGCACATCTAATATTTATTGTAATTCAAAATTTATTATTAAAATACAACATTTGTTCGTTCAGTTATCGGTTAAGAAAAAAATGTTTTAATATTTTAATACGCAATATGTTGTTGTAACTATCTCTTCAAGTCTTAGAATCTTTTCGAAGTTCTGTGTTCCAGCCGTCGTAACGCCTGCTCAGGTTTGAAGACAATTTCCAGCGTATCGTAGAATTATATAAATTTTAAGAGTTATCTAACATTATGGCGGAGGCACACTAAATTTGTTCTTTCTTACGTTCCAGTTCATTCTTTTTATTTTTTGTTTTTCGTACATCATTCAAGGAGTTTCTGCAGTCTTTTCGAGCCACACTGAGTACCTCCTTCACTAACGAGGTTTAATGTTTTCACAGACTAACCTCCAGCTTTTATGGCATTTTATAAAGAAAAATAGGTTTGAAATCTACTTGTTATATATCTATTACAACGCTTGATTAAAACATTGATTTTTATTATAATTGCCTGATTCTTGTTATAATATTCGCAAAATTACAGCAACAAGATATCTGCAGATCTTATCTTACTAACTTGTTGAGGTGCATATAGGCCATAGGCTACCTATTATATTTTTTCTGATTTATGATAAAATCTTAAGTGCTATTTATATGCCGTCTCACTACTATGTATCTAAACAGGGCCAGCCACCTTACTCTCGAACGCAATTACAATCGATCGGCATTGCAATTGTGCGCACAGCACTCTTGATTGTTTCACTACTACATTCTGGAGCTAGTGTGATTGGATATCAAGAGTACAAAATGGCACAATTGCAATGTCGATCGGTCGCGATTGCGTTAATGAGTAAGGTGGCTGAAGTCCAATATTATTAGAGCAATGACTTCCACATCAATCAATGGTAACAAATATATTTATTATTTTGTGATATAGTAACAAGAACTGTATCATAAAGGGTTGTATTTGAAGCACTATTAATTTTCCATGGTTACTGCTAACATTAGCAGAATTGTCCTATTGTCTTTTTTTATGTTTCTAGGCATGCTGTATGGATTCTGCATGTTTAGAAAAATTGGCGAAGCTTGATAAGGAGACGACCGAATTGCGTACACGTGCTCAGAAACTGGCACGACGGGAAGCTCAACGTGTAGAGCTTCTTGAAAGAGCGGAGATGGCTTGGAAAGACCTTGAAATGGGCTACCAGAGGCGACTCGCTGCTGCTGAGGAAAAGGAGGAAGACATGACTAAACATGTAACTATTAGTACAGCGTTTCAATTTAAATAGATATTCCTATATATGTTTATCGAATATGTAAAATATTTCTTTTCAATTGACGAAAATTTTTCAAAATATCTTCATTCGCGTATTTTTTGCTATTACTATTATATTTCTCTCTACGTTTATAGGTAACTACATTTTTTTTCAGAGATGTTTAATAAATATAATAAAACGTAATTATAACTTAAAAGAAGTTACATTATGTAGAGAGCTACTTTACTTTATGTGAATATGAATATATTATATTGTTACTATTACTCCTGTGCCAGACGGGTATGCTTTTAATTGATCACGTATGTAAAATTTTATCTGAACAAAGAAGCCTTCAATTATTTGCGTACGGGTCTGACGCGGGGTTTAGATGCGTTACCAACCTTAAACGATTGTTGTCAGATTCAGAAATTGATTCAAGAACGCAATGGTTACAAAAATGCCTGCACCACTTTAGCTAAACAACTGAAAGAGAAAGGAGATATAGCGGAAAAGGATCGCGTTTTACTCACCACGTTCGAGAAAGATGTGTGCAAGAATGCTTGTGATCGTCTGCGGCTCAGTGAAGAAGCTGCACAGCTCGATGCAGAACTTGCCGAGCTGCAATGTAAAAGCACGCAGCTGGACAGAGATCTTCAGGTAACACTGCTTATATCCGTGTTTGAGTTATTTTATTAGATAAAACAAATACTAGGCGAGAAAGTTTATTTTATTCTTCAATGTATTTGACTAAATCAAAAATGAAATTCAAATATCAATATGAAATACAAAGTAAAAATCCGAACCCGAACTCGAATTTACTCATGTGTCTGAATTCACATCATTTAGAATAGAAATTATATTGATTCCGTTTTTGTATAAAAATACAAAACAAGATTGATTGATTGATTCATACGCGTCTCAGATATTCTATTCCTATGTCATTTCAAAACTAAAGTTAGTTTCGAAAGAAACTTATGCCAAGAAACCTTATTACCAATTGAAGGTTTGAGTAAAATTCAAATTCGGGTTCGAATTTTTACAGAATAGCAAGGCAGCTCAATATTTGTTGAAACATGTTTATTATGGACGGATGCAGCTTTGCCTATAAGATAACACCCAGATGCACAAAGGTCCATTAAAATTATCACTAGATTAAAGCGACAATACCCACAGAACACATAAAGACATTAGAAAGGCTTTGTGGGCGTGGCCGTGTAGCCACGATCCTGGACAAATGTACAGGATCGTGACTTCACCACGCGATCGCGATGTTTAGTCATTAACGAACGCGCGTGCTTTACATAACTTGCTTAGTACGACGCAATGTAATAAATATGCGCACTTATTCAGCAATGTATATTTTCTTGGATTTTTTTTTGTAATTCACACTTTTGATAACATTTCACGAATTTCGACTAAAAATACTAAATTTGAGAAGTGTTCTACTTACTAATGGAAAGAAATCCTTCCTTTGGACCTACTTAAGGATGGGCTTCTTGTTTTGAAATTAATAACTGCGCAAGTCGGCATTTTTAACACTTTTAGTGGCGCGTTTCACAGTACTTACAGCGCGCGCGTTCGTGAATGACTAAACATCGCGATCGCGTGGTGAAGTCACGATCCTGTACATTTGTCCAGCATTGTGGCTACACTGCCACGCCCACAAGGCCCTTCTCACGTCTTTCTGTGTTCTGTGAAATATACAATTAAATTGCAATTTTAGTATTATCCCAAATTCGTATTATACAGAGAATAAGTAAACCTACTTATCTTTTAGGAGTAAATATTACTCCCGTAGAACCTCGAACTATGTTAACCTTTGCCAAGTTTCTTTCAATAATATGAATTTTTACTAATACTAAGCGCAGTCTCAGCGTGAATTTACTCCAACGCCAAACCTTGTTTATTAATAATATTGCTAGTGTATTGTAGTAGGTACACATTGGTTGTTTCATATTTTATATTATAAGAGTAGCTTTTAGCTAGCTGGAACTCAGCAATGCGTGTGAGGTTGTCTAATTTATTTTTATTATATATACATATTATATCTACATATCGCACACCGAGATCTAAACTGAGACAACTCAAAAATTTGAGTGAGTTTTGACTTAGTACAATATTCAAATACTCGGTGATCATAGGCATCTATCCAACATAACAGATTCAATAAAGGTTCGGGGATGAGCCGCAAGATAACTTTAGCTTTCTTTTGTTGAATCAACAGTGGTCGCGCTTCTTCCACGTAAACAAATGTATTGACAGACCTCCACAGTTTTTTGAGGTGTCTTAGTTTAGATCTAGGTGTGCGATATACATATCTACACATCACCAGAATATTAATGTTCCCATTGCTGGGGCTCAGCCCTTCCCTATGGATGGAATCGAATCAAATCCAATAGGGAGAACGGGTCATGGCCTACCACGCGAGCTCAGTGCGGATTGGTTGGTGTTAACGACTGCAGATAAAGACTTCTGAAGCACGGAAGCGCCCGAGATAATTAGATTAAATTTTGTCCTATAACAGGACTTTGTTAAAGTTGCTAAACAACCGTATCGTAGACCAAGCTCGCTAACCAAAGCGCCATCGAGATCCTCCAATCTACAAAGGTAGCTCAATATCTGGCGAATTTCTAGGCTTTGTGACGTAATTTAAAGTCAGTATGATGGACCCTAAAGAAATAAAAATCAGAAACTTAATTGTATATTTTGCACAAAAAATATTTTTGTTTTACATTCGAAACTTAACAGGTTTATCTATCTAATAATCATTGTCTACTTAAATTTACTCGTAAAACTGAGAATTTTCAATACAAATTACCAGAAAAATTTGCATTACAAATAGTCAACGGGGGAAAAAGAGATTAAATTTACATAGTTATTTATTGTAGTTCAAGGAAGAACAAGTCCGAGGCAGGCTACAAAACTTGGAGAACGAAGTAGACTGTGCTCGAGCTTTGACTTATGAGGCAGAGCGCACGATACATGCTGAACTTAGCGCTCTGCGGGATCAGATCACTGCCGTGTCCGCTCAACTCCTCCAGGAAGATGAGGATAACACTCTTATAAAGGAAGAGGTACAATTAGTTAGGTGTATGGGCGTATCTATAGATATTTCCTAGGAGTGGCATGACCAATGGTCAACTGGAATAGAAAGGCTTTTTAATTTTACAGCTTGTTATTTTTTATATAATTAACTTTATTTACTATTAGAAAATAATATATTACTCTTTTTCCTTGCATCACAGATATTAAAATGTCGGTACTGTTTAAAAATAAAACCAGCTTAGTGTATATGTATTTTTTAATATATTTTTCTTTTAAACCTTTTATTAAGTTACTTTCAAGATAGTTTAAAAGTTTATTTTAAAATTTAATTATAACTTATGTTGGACTGTATTGGAACTAATTAAACTATCCATTTAGCTCACGATTTAGATATATTACTCGTATTATAAGCGTTTGGAATATTTAAAATATATTTTGCCATTATTGACATATTCCGATTCGATAAATTTACTTATACTACATATTTACAGTTGGAGCAACTACGATCCGAGAAAATGGGTTTAGTGGAGGACCTAGAAGGGTGTCAGGCACTATGCAATCAGGGTACTCAAAACAAAATTGATGAGTTGAATAAAAAGCGAGAACAGTTGCGTGAACTCCAGGAGAAGGTTATGGAGTGTCAATGCAAGGTGCCCGTGGACGCGGCAATCGAAGTGAAACGTACTCCTTCTCTTGTAGCACTATGCAAGTGCATGCCAGAAGACAAGTTTTCGGTACATATAGTGTCATGAATATTTATATTTGACTTATATACCTTCTTGATAATATAATTTAATACAAAGTTTTTGTACAAATAAAATCTTCGCATCTTCTCTATAAACAAACTGGATCGCAAAATGTGTTGCTAAGCGAAAAACTCGAGAACGGCTGAACCGATTTGGCGCATTTCTTATTTGTTACATTTGATGAAATCTAAGGAAGGCACTTATGAAGAAAAAAAACGTGAATAATACGACGATAATAGTACAAACTAACAATGTTCTTCTCCCACAAAAATTGACCTCAGCTATCAGACATTTGAGATCAATCAAAGACGCGTTACGATGATCTTTCGTACGCCTATATGTTAATTCGAGGTAACCTGCGACAGGCCAATAACCTTTGATAGAAGGAGATTTTTTACTTCATTTTAGAGAAATAGGGCAGAACAAGGTCTACCGGGATAATTATATTGATTTTCAAGTGATTGTGAAATAAATATCATTATATATCATTAACTTTAAAGAACACTAGCTGTTTTCATACGACTTTTTCCGACATAGCTCTCCGTAGGTAAAAGAATTTTCATGATCGGATCAGTATTTTGAAAGATTACCCTTACAAACTGACAAAGTTAGAATCTTTACATGTTTATACTATTAGAACAAATTTAACTTTTAATAAAATGTGCGAGATTTATAATTTATAACAACAAATGTCGTACTTCGTTGATATAAATATTTTTATTTCCAGGAATCATGTTCATGCTCGTCGCTTCGCACCACTCTCTTGACAAATTTGCTATCGGACTTGTTCAGTGGGTTGCAGTCTGAACTCGGCGGTAGTTGTGCCCAAATGCCGTGTCAGCTGTTGAAGTGTCTGGAAGATAAACACAATTGGGACAAGTCAAGTGTAATCAAGACTAACCTTCAAAACTACTTCTCGAAGCTGCTTGTTGGCGAATTAGATATTGCGATAGCCACCTCAATTGAGAAATACCATGCTAGGGTATGTCCTTCTTCACTCTGTTATTTTCAGAATAAATTTATAGGATACAATAATTTTAAAATTACAATATTAAACAACTTACATAGTTGCACTAGTAATATCTATGTGTACATTTTAACTATATACGAGTACATAAGACCATTGCCCCTCCATAGAGTACTCTGTTTATCACTATTCGGCTTAACATCTGTTAAGGTTTCCCCGTGATAAACTGACTCCCTGAAAACCCAATAACTATGAAACTTACACAGTAAACAAAAATATATGCGATTGGTATTTCTTATAGTCTAACAATTAATTCTTATATCTTAGTGGGTAGGTGCATCGTGCGCGGATGCGGTTCGCCAGATAACCAAATGTTGCGGGGCCGACACCGACAGCAATCCAGATCGTATCATAGAGAAACGGGCACAGAAATTGGCAGCGAGACTCGCTGAGAAGTTGTTCCAAGAGCGTGCAGATCAGCTGGCCGCCAAGGCTAAAGAAGTACTGAAGACGGGGCCGCCGCCTTGCGAGTGCAGTGGTCGTTCCGGTATGAAAACTTCAAAAATATTACAAAAGATTATTCCTCCTTTTTAGAGATGATCTCAGTAGACACATTTTCTTATATCGGTACACTTACGTTTTGTTTCATTAGATATGATAATATTATGTTCTAAGAAGTCAAGAATTTGTATAATATGTATATCTAATTCAACACCAAGTAAAGTCTTTTCACATAGCACGGGCACAGTGACGTTTGGGATTTAAAACTTTTAGTGATGTGATAATTAATAACCCTATATTCAAAAATTCGCAAGTAAAGAGTTAATTTCTAATAGATATAATCGATTTTGAGGACAATGTAAAAAACAAGATTTAATAAAAATATTTATTCGTCACCAAAAGGAATCAACAACCAAAACAGTCAGCAAAATTACTTGATTCTTCTTCTAAATTAATATTTACTTGAGAGTCTATTATACTATTTTAATAACCTTATTTATTTGATCGAAAAAATAAATAATAACACTATTCCAGTCATGTAGAATAAGGTTTTTTGTTATCCCAATTTTTCAAAAAGAAATCGGACCGTATACAAGGTTTACGCACTCGTATTGAAGTTGTTTGATAGATAAAAAATCCGCCGTTTGTGTTTTGAAGTGTTGTTATTATTAGTAAATATAAGCTACTGCTAATTTATTAATTACAACATAAATGTTATTTAAAATTTAATTATATTCAAATTTAATGTTATGGCAACAATAATTAAAAATGGTCAAACGATTACCGAATATGTATTACGATTAAAACCAATTTATTGATTCAATCCTTTACGTTCCAGTTTACGTTTTAAACTTTAGTGGATTAGACTTCAGTGATTATGGATATTAAAAATGTTTTTGTGTTTTACTATGCAAATTTAAATAAATATCTAATAGATACACAAATAGTGGATTAATTAACTAACGTCACCGTACCCATCCTATATGAAAAGGACTTTATCTTCCCGCCATCCAATCTAGTGACTTGATGTACTCTTTCAAAGGAAGTCAAGAATTTCTATAATATTTACATTTTATCATTGTCAATATCAGCGAAGCAATAGGGATGATGACTAATTTTTGTTTGTTTGTCCGTCAGGTATAGTGTTTAAAAAGATTAAACACGAATTTTTTTCGTAATCATAAAATTATGGCGTTACATTGAGTTGAAATTTCGCATGACGTCACGTTAGAGTACGTTTTCTACTCAACTGTGACGTAGCAAGCCCCCACTCCTCAACTTTAATGCCTGTTATCTAAGCTATTTCTTGTTAAATTGAAATAAAAAAAAATACGTATCTAATATTTTTCTATTATCTGACTGACGGACTAAATAGAATTGCATTTTTTTTACCCAGTCATCATCCCTATTATTACTATGGTCTATTCAAACATTACATTCAATATATAAAGTACGAAACTTCGCCCTATCATACTGACGGTCAGTTACACAAACGTTCGTTAACGTATAATGATGACAATGAATGTTTTAAATTTGAAAATGTGTGTTGGTTATGTGGCATTGTTACGTTTACTTTGTCCACCGTTTACACCGTTTATTTCGTCCTAGGTTTCCGCATGCCAACTTTTTTTTTTGATCTTCAACATCGTTTATTTTTAGAATTCACTTTTCGTCATTTGAATTTTTGAGTGATCCAATATGCTCTTTATGAATGTCAGTCAGTAAAAAAATCATCCAGCGAGAACATGATAATTCAATAATATTATCATATTTAATCATATAAATCCAATATAAATTATTAATATTTAAATAAGAAGTATAACGTATATCTTCGTGAAATATCTAATAAGTTCTACCTATTACGGAAAACCCAGAAACGTTCGCAAGCTTAGTCAGCCTTTTATTAATTTACCTGAGCATCGAACCCGTCGCATCAATAAACTAATGACAATTTTAATGGATTTTTGCGCAACTGGCACTGCACACCTTTAAATATAATTATAAGTAAGTGAAAACACATTTGAGTCTTAGTAGAGGTCTACTTATCTTAGGGTATCTGTTTGTAATAGCTGCTGTGTATCCGTGTTTCGTGAAGCAGCCAATAATAGGAGGTGCTCAGTCGAATACAAGCGGGGTAGCAACGCCAGCGTACTGGCGTCGTACACATCAAAATGTCACACAATTAAGGACGCAAATAGAAGATCTGAAAAAGGTTTGTCTTCCTCTGCATCTACAAAAAAGGTTCAGATGATGAATTTCAGTTTATAAAGTTAAAATTAAGCCCATTCTTCAAAAATATGAAACCGCTAAATTAGCGCGCGTAAATTAAAGCCTATGTATGTCACTCGCATGATGTAGCTTTCCGTAGGAGGGAGAATGTTTATAATCAGACCAGTATTTCCAAAGATTAGAATCAAAAAAAATTTGAAACTACCTCTTTTAATATTAGTATACATAGATGTATTAATTCCAGGTCTCCATAAAAAAAGAGGATTTAAAAGTAATGGAGGAAAATATTGTAAAAATGGTTCAGCGTTCGGTAAGTTCTTTATTACCAGATTTATAACACTTTTTCAGTTGGAATGTTATGTTAAAGATTAATATTGTCTTGATAAGAATAAATCTTTTACTCAGTTTTGCAAGTCATGAGGTCTTATGTCTTACTGAAAATAATAATACCAACCTGTTACCTTAAAATGCTGTTCTGTCAAGATAATTTGAAGGTATTGATCAATTTTTCATATTTAACAAAAAGTTTTTACGGAAATGCATTATTAAAACGAAACTTACGAGCACTTGCAATAACTTTCGAATTAAATAAATTAAATAATAATTGTTATCACCTTGTTAACGTACGTGGTTAACTTAACGTGGTAACTATACTAAAGTGTATAAGTTTCTTTTCAAATCTACAAAGAAAAGAAGTTTGTTTCTTCAGCCTTTGGGTTATACAATAAACAACTCTGATAAATTCTGACACTTGATAAATAACTTCAATCGCTTTGAAAAATTTAATACATTGAAAATTAAGCTCAATAAACTGCCATAAACTTAGCCTTCCCAATGATTTGCGAAGTTGGTGTTCATACGCTTGTAATTTTTTATTACGACGATTACGGTAATCAGCCGACTTTGCGTTGTAAATAAATTAGGCGAACAGTCGAAAATTATGTTGCGATATCCATAGTCTTGCCATAAATATTGTTACATAGGAAATCATAATTTTTTTATTGATCGTAACATTTATATACATTAATATAAAGCCATTAAAAATATATAGCTTATTCGAAGTGGTTTTCAGTGGCTGCAATACAATCATTTAAATGTTGAGGACATCAATAGATGCTCGCACTCTTTTCAGGGAAAATTCTTTACTGCCAATCGTATGGATTGTTATTGGGATTCCAAATAACCATGACGTTTAGAGCAAGCCTTACTATTTGATACTGACCATAAATCATAATCCAGCGGAAGATCAGTCTTGAGCTGTGATGGAGTCCGGAACGTTCCTTTCTAACCAAGATTGGGTGGACCAAGCTTAATGATTTGGAGTTAAATTACCTTTTTGAGACCATGGTCTCCTGAGACAAAAAAGCCGATGTTTTGATGCCTTTTTCACAAAAATATTATACGGTCACTCTTTCATAACTAATATCCCACCAAATCATCACTGAAGTTCTGTAATGCCCACGTTGTACTCTGTTGGCTAATAGTGTAGCTTCTTTAGAGCTTTGAGCATAAATACGCTAACTTTGCTCAAATGATAAAATTGTCTCATGTTATTTAAACATTTTTCAGTGAACTCCCTTTGTGTACCGCTCAAGTAGTGGTTTTGATTTTACCACCCTTTTATTTCTTAAATAATCTGTTAAAATGTACGTCTTTTACAGGCTACAAGTCCGAGGATATGTTTTGAAAATACGCAACATTGTTCTATATGCTATCTTCATCTCCCAAGATAAAATATTTTACTTTCGGACAGGATTTCTTCAAATTCTTTTCCCTACTGTTTTGATCGCCTTGTGTTTGCCTCCATATCTACTTGATGTAATGCACAGCGAAACGGTTCTCTATATCACTCTACTTTAACTTCACAAAATATTTTATATTACATTGGCGCGAAAATAAGAAAAGGCAATAAACAATCATTAAAAATAACAAATTCGAAATTCAAGAGTAATATTTTGTTTATTTTTAATTTTAACAGTATTTATGGCCAGACATCAAACAATTAAAAATAGTGGAAGCTGTGTTTTAAGGTAAAACCTTATAAAGTATTTATTTTGCAGTTTATTTAGAATAAGGATGGATAAAACAATTAATATTATCTATATTAATTTAATTAATGCAACTTCCTAATAACAATAATTTATTATACAATGGAATATGTAAAACACTAATTCTATCATTATATTTATCATTATGCTTAACTTGTAATTTAAGCAAATGAATCTTATCGGGTCAGTACATGTAATCATGTGTAACTAAGCCTTCACCGAAAAGAAAAGGGAAACTATATCCCATTATGTGTGAGTTTAGAATTTCATAAAGTTTTATTTATTTATTTTAGATACCAGATACAACAAATGATGATAAATGCATCATAGATGCTCAAAAGATAAACAACAAACAACAACAACAACATATTTCCAGACGTCCACATACTGAACAGACTAACAAACGTTCGCCAGGCACAAAACTCAATAGTATAAAGAAAAAACAGACAGATTCTAATTACCAAAAGAAAACAACGAAAAACATTACTTTGGGCTTGCAAATGGATAAGCAACCTAGACCAGTGAAAAAGCTAGAGCAGTCATACGCAGTCCATTTTTGTGTATGTGGGACTCAAAAAGAAACAAACAAAACTCCCAAACCAGGACATAAAGATATAAATAGCTTGAAAGAACAGCGATCAATAAAACCATTGATCGATGACAGATTTCCAGAAATGACTGACATCAAGCAAATGAAAAAAATAATAAGACCCTTGCAATCAGAAAATATAAAATATTGCCGCAGTGATGTTGCTTGCTTTCACAAACCACCTTCAAATACTTCAATAGATAATCTACTTAGCACTTTAGTTAGGTGGAAGTGTGACCTATTTAAATTAAGTAGTAAAACTAATAAAAATAAAGTGATCGATAATAGTTTAGAGGAAAACAAAAGAGTTGAAGATATTACTAAAACAGTCGTTGATGAAAAATCGATAAAAGACACTAGTATATTAATGCCTCAAAATGTATCTGTTAAAACTTTGGTTAGTCAAGCTGATCCAAATTCTACAAAGAAAGTAGTAGCAAATATTTCGAAAGCCACTGATGCGCAAAAAGATTTACCAGCAACTACGAATTCAGTATATATGGGTGCTATCAATCTAGAAAAGAGTGACGAAAATTTTTGCAAATGTGTAATTGATGTTAAGAATACATCGGAGTTTCCATATAATTGTATAGATTCCCAATTATGTGATTGTATGAATATTATTCATCAACACAAAATTATTTCAGAAAATAATAAGGTGGCCTCAGAAACCCAACAGAAAAACTCACATTTTAATTCAAGAAACTCTTCTAATCAACTAACTTCTTCCAATATCAAAGGAAACGTAAGTAATGCGGACAGCAAACATATTTCAAAGGCATCGTTGTTATTTCCAGAGGATTCTCAATATCGTATAACCTTTCTGGGAGCTACATTAACAAACAATTGTACTAAAAAAGATATCGTTGCAAAAGAAAACACTTGTTATAATGTTCATCATACAATAATTAAAAAACATGACGCAAAAAGTATAAAAATCCCGGATAATGCATGGTGCAATAAGCATATAAAAGCAAGTGGTAACTGCAACGGAGATGAGATTACTTTTTCTAATACACTGAATTCTCCAGAAACTAAAATAAATTCATGTGATTGTAATGTTAAATGTGAAGAATTTAAAAACTTCGTAAATGACGTGTTAAGTAAACATCATGAAGAAATTAAGAAGCATGAAAACAAAGCGTTGGATACACATAGTTTAAAAAATTCTAAACTGGAAAATTGTATATGTTGTAATATCAAAGGAGATGAGTCAAAAGAATTAGAAGTCAATACATTTCATTTATTGGAAGAGCATTTAAAAAATAAACTAGATGAATTTAATAGAACGACATGTAAATCATCATGCATATCATCTGTTGAACAAGAAAAATTATTTTCTACCATTTTGCAACGCGTGCGACAACTTATTTCAGATAGTACTCTAAGTATTACTTGTAAGTGTATTAATGAAGGACCATCACAGGGAAGTTGGCATAGAGCATACATGTTATTACAAGAATATTTGAAGATTAAAATAAACAAAGTGCAATGTATGTGTCAATTACCTCAAGACAATGAGCAAATATTTTTACCAGATGTTTTGGAAAAGGTTTGCAATTTAATAGACAGTGATTTTAAACGCTTAAAAGATTTATGTAAATGTAAGTCTGAAAGACACGAGTCAGTAAAAAATGCGGAGGTCGGTGCCCAAGATACAATACCTGAAAAAGATCCTAATAACACTAATCTTATTTTGTTCAACGAAAAAAAAACTTCATGTAAATCAATGATACCGTCTCAACCTGCAGCGTCACAAGTATCTTCTAATTTCGGAATAACTACGAGATCTTGTAGCACTAATAATAAAAATGTAGCAGAAAACTTTACTAGCCCTTGTTCAGATTTAGACTTTAAAATATACTCTACTTCATTTTCTAATCCTACAACTCATGCTGATTTTAAAATCAAGGGAATTTTGAATAATAAGTACAAAAATTATACGAAAGAAAATGCACTCCAAGATCATGTAAATCTACATACAAAAATTTCCACAGAAAAACCCATTGGAAATAAAAACCTTGATTATGATGTAAATTTTTGTGCAACGCAGTCCCCGTACATAGGTTATACAGTAGATTGTTCGTGTAATAAAACTCTAGGGACTTGTTCTTGTTCTAAGTCGGTAGTATTGAAAAACACCGAGAATATAAAAAATATTTGGACTAAATTAACAAGTAAGAAAATCAATCATAAAGATCACTCATATATAATGAACGCTATACCTATCAAAACTGAAGAAATAGACGAATCGACAGAAAGAAATGAAACTGATCTCAAAATACCAACTGAAAAATCATTATGTGATGCAAAAATAAACGTACATTACAGTGAAGATATAACTCTAAAAATTTCCAATGGAAAATTAACCAAAATTTATGTACCAAGTACTACAACTACCACATCTGATGACTATGTAAGTCTTTTAGCAGAAGAACCAATAGATTGGCGTGACTGTAACAGTACAAACACGAATTCTCATAAAGTAATTAATCCCAGTGATAACAAGTGGACTAATTCCCTGTATTATCCCATTCACACTTCAAAAAGTCATAAAAAAAATAAAACCAATGAAAAATTTGATCAAGTCAATTTATCTTCTTCATTGTCTTCAAATTGTGATTGCAACATGGTCCCGTTATGTCACGTAAAAATGTTAGTGGAAAATATTGAGAAGAAAATTATCAACTCGAAGTGTACTTGTGATTCTCTATGTTCTAAAATATGTCCCGAGCATTCAAAAAGAAACATCTAAATATAAGATTAAATTATGTAGGTAACATTATCTGAAAGTTAGATATTTGTATAATGACTTATTTTTATTTTATTAAAAATGTTATTTTTCTTCGTATGCTTATTATTATTGCAGTGTTAGGTTTGTTTAGTACAGTTTTATTTTTTCTGATTCTGCGATATTCTTTGTTATATATCGTAGATATGCCATGATTGATTTAGGGCCAGTTTTTTGATACGTGGTTAACTCAACCACTTCTTAAAATCTTCGACAAATGGTTAAATATCAGAAAAATATGTTTTTTGATTAATAGTTAGCCTAACCAATTGTCAGATTTCCAACCATTGGTCAAAAAACTTAACCATCACTGGAAGCTAGGTTAAGCAAATGACTAATGGTTAAAAGAACAGATGTATAACTGCATTGTATTTACTTTGTCCCTTGTTATTGTTTTTAAATCCCGATTATTGTATTTTTACGTATTTCTCTATAAGATAAAATTACCCGTGTTAATGTATAGCGAAAGAACGACTGATTATGCTGGCAACAAATTAACCAGTGGTTAAATTTGGCTATTGTTTAATTTGGCATCATAAAACGAAATAGCGGGTTAACAACTGGTTAATGTTTTAACTATAGTCAAGTCAGCAAATGGTGAAATAACATTTGACTACGGATCAAAAAATTGGTCCTTAATCAGATATTATAAAAACCATGGAATTAATTAACTGCGAAGGATTATGAAGTGACTTTCTTATTACAATATTTGCACTATACATACCATATAATATATAGATAAGATAAAATGACGTCATTACTAATTTTCATACAAAAATACGACTCTACGTTTTGACTCTCAACTCTTCCTAACTCCTAACGACCTCCCTAAGCGAGTTGCTCCAACGGCGGTTTCAAGATATCACCATCCCTGAGTTCCCTGGGACAGATAACTGGTCAAGTTAATATAGAATATGAACTCTTCAATATTTATCTCTGGTCTGGGTAATACTAGGACTAAACTGCTTATCTTGAACTCTAAACAATATATGTGGCGTTATCTTTTTTACTCTTTATTATTTTAATTTTTTTCTTTAACTTCATGGCGGATTTCTTGCAAGATTTTTCCCATATGTGAAAAATCATATAAAATATAGCTCAATTTGATATCAATCTAAATAACAACGCATGAATTCAACGAAACTAATATGTTATCTTAAAGAAAATCGTTATCTATATATTACTATAATTTATCTGTATCGATTAGTCTTAATTCAAACTCTGTGCAAAGAGGTAACAGAGAATTTATTACAATTATTCATTTATTTAAAATATACATAATATAAACAAATTAACTTTACATAAATGTAAAATACCCGAATATTATTTGGTAATAATGGAAAAGCAAGAAGATAAAATGTTCCATAAAGACAGGAAAAAACCGAATATACTATCACGGATATTTTTTTGTTGGATTTGTCCAGTTTTAGTAACAGGAAACCGAAGGGATGTCATTGAGGATGATCTTATTGTGCCAAGCAACATCTACAATTCAAAACAGCAGGGTGATAAATTAGAAAAGTAAGTTTATATTTTATAATTACCCGTAATTACGTGATAGTAATGTTGCGCAAGTATTATTTATTTGGTACAAATACAGGTAGTAATTCTGTTGCACAAACTAGATTACATTTAGTTTAACCCTGTTAAACTTCATTTTCAATTGTAAAATTATCTAAGACAACACAAGTAAATCTATTATATTATAGTATAGAGGAATTTATACTTATATTTCTTTGATTACATATGATTACAGAATAAAGTTAAAACAAACGCAAATTAAAATTTGACATCTCTCTCTGAAGATCGAATAAATTGTAAAGACATCTTAATTATAGTTTTTTTTATTATATTAATAATTTCGTTATAGTAAGCATAACAGGTTGCCAAATTTTTTTCAGCTTGTAAAGGGTAATTTTACCTAAATGAATAAAAAATACAGGATTTTAGCTTTTAATTAAAATTTTTCTTTCATATATTTTTTAAGGATCTAGGCAGTTTTAACATATTTTTAGTAGTTTTAAATTTAAATATATTCAATATTAATACAAACAAAATTGTAATTTAAAACGGTCTACTAGGCTTTTTTTATAACATTTGGAGTCAAATTTATTCTTACACCAGTCCCTATAACAGTTGTAATATAAATATGAAAATAGGTACCCATGTATTAGTATACTAATTTCAGGGCTTTCAGTATTGCCAAACCTTTCGATAAATTTCTTCCACTTAATAGAAGTTGAAATTTGTGTGCGTGCGTCTTTGTCGATTTCAGATTGCTCGATTTCATAATAAAAAAATAGCATTGTTAAATAAGGGACAGAGTTAGTCCCGTGAACATTTTTATTTTCTATGTCTTATATTATAAAAATCAATTGCTGTTCGTTTGTCTCGCTAAAACTTAAGAACTGACTTTTGATTTTGGTTTTGAAATGTATGTCGTGGTCCAAAGAAGGTTTAAAAGGTGAGAGATAGAATACAAAGTACACCGGGTCATCTAGCTATATCTATTTATTTGGCACTGTTGTAAGTGATACGATATAATGACGAAGTAGCTAAATAAAACAAGATACGAGTATATGGTATATTCCCGTACACATCTATTATGTACTCGAATGTTACTGAGCATGGAAGTTTAAAACAATGTACCTATTTTTAACTATGCTTTAAATACGGGACGTAGGTAACGGAAACACGGAACGTCTAGGTACACTACTGGGTATATTAACATAAAACGGTAGTTCGATACTGATTGGTGTTGGGTCTTCCTCTTGGTTTATTCTTCATGTCAAATTTATTAATTTTATTTAAGAAGTTCAAAAAAGAACCTTATGTTGTTTACCCTCATCTAAAACCATAGCACTGATGTTACTAACAGTAATTCTGTGTTCCATGATGGAAACCTTATTAGTAAATATTTTGATTTTCATCGTATACATTTTTCTTAATTAACTAATAGGAATGATGACTGGGTAAAAAAATGCAATTCTATCTAGTCCGTCAGTCAGATAATAGAAAAATATTAGATACGTACTTCAATTTAACAAGAAATAGCTTAGATAACAGGCATTAAAGTTGAGGAGTGGGGGCTCGCTACGTCACAGTTGAGTAGAAAACTTACTCTAACGTGACGTCATGCGAAATTTCAACTCAATGTAATGCCGTAATTTTATGATTACAAAAAAAATAAAAAATACGTGTTTAATATTTTTTAACGCTCTACCTGACGGACAAACAAACAAAAATTAGTCATCATCCCTATTGTGTGTAAAACTAATTAAAATAGTCATACATTCAATTTTAAACTTATTTGAACTAGTTTTACACTGATACAGTTTGCACCTTTAATTTAAATTTAAATCGGTCAGAATAATAAAACGGCAATTTCATATCTTAACTCCTATCATCAAAGTAGTGACAAGTTATCCTAGGAAATGTAGAGTATGTACATTATAACACATATTTATCACGTAGCTCTGTTGCATAATGTTTATTTTTAAATAATCATATTGATGTTAAACTAATATTAATAGTAGAAATCATATGTACAAATTGCTGGGTATAACTACTTCTTATACATATATTTTTTATAGATCTTGGTTGGCAGAAGTCGAATTAGCTCAAAGAGAAAGCAGAAATCCGTCGCTTTGGACAGCGTTGCGGAAGGCTTATTGGCTAGAGTACATGACTGGTGCAATATATATCTTAACTATAACCGCTGTTAGGTAAGTATTTGTTTTTTTTACCTGTAAATAAAAAAACCAATCGATAAATAAATCAAATTTAACATCTTGCAAAAACTTTTGCTCTTCTTAATTCGAATAAAAAATTATTTTAATAACAACAACAAGAACAGAAGATCATTTTATAATTAAATATGGAAATGCTAATTATCTGCACAGTTAGTGGATTTCTTTTTGCTATGAGACGTCACTCGTGGACATATCTCTATTCCTTATTAATTATGAATTTAGATATGTATGATGTAAATCTTCTATTAACATGATACAATTTAAAGTCATAGTTTGGTAAATATTTTATTTAAATTTAACTTGTATTAGCGCTTTAGAATATTCAGTTCACATATCGGTATGAAAACCCATGTGTTTGACTTAATAATTTCCCACATAGAATATATTATTATATATATATATATTATTTCCCACATAGAAAATATATTATTCAATTTCATGCGTATTGTAACCGTCATAGATATAAAAGAAAAATATAAGTCAGTCTTGTCTAATCTAATCTTAAATATTAAATAATATCTAGTTTATAAACCAGAATTTCGTTTATTGAGCTTTGACGAATGATACGTACAAAATTACATACAGATATTGTACTGGCACATTAAAAGTATTTTGAGATCCTTGTATAAAAATGCAAAAAGGTCAAAACTCATTATCAAAAATCTTATTTCAAAAAAGTTTCTACCTCTATTTTTAATCTAATTGTCCAATCCCTGTAAAAAGGGTTTAGTCTGTCATGTCAGTAGGTCGGTTATTTTTCGTTATACAGGAATAACACATTCAGTTCACAAATTTTAATATTGCATTCGTTACTGTAAATCATAGACACTTTTCTTCTCATTTTACAACAGCGATAAAGAAGAAAAAGGTATCTATAATTCATTGTCCTATGCGTTTTTTTTACGTCAACATTGTCAAGATGAATTAAATGACGACGTAGTTCATCCATATTTCTTTTCATTTAACAATAAACAACCGATTTGATATTCTTAATGAAAAATGGTTAAATATCTAGCAGCCCCAGGTACGCTGAAATGAGATTCGAACCCACAACCTTTCGCAATCTGGGTGACTGCTCTAACCACTGAGCTTCCCAGGACCCAACAGGACTGACGAATTTTTCAAGCACTTGTTACTTTTCACTACTAGTGACCTTATTTTTCATCAAAGTACAGGAAATCCCCCCAAACAGCCGAAAGAAATATTTTTATAAATATTTTACACTTTTCATTAAGATGAACATAACATTATTGCATTATGTTAGGGTTATAAAATTTATATCTTATTATTTGCTTATTTATATTTTATTGTCATTAAAACAGTACCTAATATTTGACTTCTTTCTAAATAAAGGATCGGACAACCAATGCTATTTGCGCAGCTCTTGTCCTACTGGACGGTGGACTCGGAAATGACGTCTTTCGATGCGGGGATGTACGCTCTGGCCATGTTGGGCTTAAACTTCGTCACCATGATGTGTCAGCACCATAACAGCCTTTTTGTTATGAGTTTCAGTTTAAAAATCAAAGTTGCCTGCTCTGCTTTGCTTTATAGGAAGGTTAGTCATTATCAACAGCCCTTTTTACGTCGCCACTGCAAGAGCCTTCATTATTAGAAAGCCATTACCTCCACGCTGGCCGAATGGGCATTGGAGGGTAATAAAGACTGCAGATGCAGCCGGGACTAACGGCTTAACGTGCCTTTCGAAACACCAAGTAGCTCGAGAAAATTTTTTTGGTCACCCATCCTATAAGCACCCTTGTGAAAGTTAATTAGCAACAACGATCTCGAGCCGCGGTGTTGTCCACTACCCCACCGAGCTACTCTCGGAAAGTTACTATGGACTTATTTTGATTATCCAGTTTCATATCTGTTTACTGAAATTATTGACAATTATTATATAAAAATATTTAATATTTGTTGAAGTTACATATAGAAACACATTAATAAGGGAGGCGAAAGCATTCCATTGAGTAACCTGTAATGGAATGGATTCGAGCATTAAATAGTTGAAAGTAATCTTTATTCAAGTAGGCTTACATATAGAAACACATTAATAAGGGAGGCGAATTGAGCATTCCATTGAGTAACCTGTAATGGGATGGATTCGAGTATTAAATAGTTGAAAGTAATCTTTATTCAAGTAGGCTATTACAAGCACATTTGAATCGTTAAAAAAAAAAAATTTTTTACCTCTTGTTCAGGACGTCTTTTAGCTGTCAAGAAGAACAAGCGAAAGAAACTTACCAGCTTTTTATCATAAGTAATGACATTTACATAAATCATGTCATTACCAAAATAATATGTATTACCACAATAATAAAAACAACTTTCAATTCGTTTTCTTGAAATACATATCTGTAGAACATTATCGTTATACAATAATACATGCAAGATTTCTTGTAGCTTTTACGGCTCAACCAAGTATCCGTGGGTGAAGTAGCAGGAGGGAAGCTAGTGAATTTGCTGTCTAATGATGTAGCGAGATTCGATTTCGCGTTTATGTTCATGCATTACATCTGGATAATCCCTATTCAAGTGGCCATTGTACTGTATTTTTTGTACGGCGTGGGTGGTTACGCTCCATTCGTAGGCCTGTTCGGAGTCATGATCATGATTTTGCCAATTCAAGGTTAGTAATGTCAACAAAAAAAAAACAAAATAATTGTTTAAATATAATTATTATGATGTAATCAATGTGATGTCTTATCGTCGTTATTGTCTTATAAATTGACCCAGATTGATTCCAAAAAATATTAATATAATGGCTATCGACATGAACGATATGTTTCTGCATCGTCATTCTAGCTAGAGATTAATATCGATGATGATATCGCTTTAATGCGTTAACTGCAATATAATCCGTATTTTATAATTTATAAGTCTCGCTTATCTCTTTTCGTCACTTAAAAAAACTGTATTGTTTTTTACACATTTTTTTTCTCTTTCAACTTTTATTTCCATTTAGTTTTTACTATAACTGGTATTTAGGTAAAGTTTACATTGAAGTACCTACGCGGAATAGACGAAAAGATGATGAAAAATGTAGGTACATTACATCGCCAATGGAACACTTAGGGAATCAAATACGTTTACACGTGTACATGTGCTATTATTACATAATAAAACATATCGAAATTTTCCTTAATATTTATGTATTCGAAGTAGTTTCGTAAATTTTCAAAGGGTTCTCTACGCTAAAATAGAATTTAATACATTAAAAAAAAAATTGTCATTTTTATTATTAAGTATCCACCCTTTTATTATTTTAAAAAAGAAAAGCTTAAATAATCGTCAATTTACCGAATAAAATATTTAAATTTATAACATTGATTCAGTCCTGATGAAAAATATTTATAATGAAAAATGCTTAATTCTTAATTCATAAATCGAATTGTTATGAAATGGGATGGAAATGGGACCTTGTACATTAAGAACTTAATTTTATCATTCTTATTAATTCCTATCTTTTTCCCACTATTTCGTCCGCGTGATATAGTTAATTTGGGCAGAATTTAAAAACGCTAAAGCAAATATTTAATCAGTATATCGTGAAAAATATCTGAATACAAAGTTTAACTTTCTATATCAACATTTTCATTATAATAAAAGTAACCTATGTCCTATCTCAGGTCAACTCTGTTTGGTGGTTTAAGCGTGAAAGCGTTAGCTTTAATAAAATTATGAAAAAGGACCTTATACATATTAAGAAGTTAGTTATTATAATTAATATATAGTATTCACAATTATTTTAATTTACAAGATAATGTATTTATATTGTTAATCAAAACAGACACAGAAGACGTTTAAAAGAACTCTCAAGCAAAAAGAGAACTATATACATCCTTTCGTAATCTAATTGTATTAAATGTTATTGCAGCTGGCCTTACTAAATTAACTGCTTCGGTAAGGCGTAAAGTAGCGATAAGGACAGATAAACGTATCAAGTTAATGAATGAAATCATTAATGGAATACAGGTTGGTATTTTCATATGATTTATTCTGGGGAAATCACATTAATTTTATATCTGATAACAACATAGGGATAATCAAAAGCTAATTACTCAGTTTATTTTGTTAGTATAACTTTAAAAAAGATAGCATTTTGAATGCAAATTTAAACAAATACAATAATTAACGAATTGATATTTTCATCTTAACTTGGCAAATTTAAAATCAATTAATATTTTTCAATATCAATTGTGGTATTGTGACTTATAATAAAGATTGAATATACTTATCGTGGTTATATGATACTAGTGGCCGCCAGCGACTTGGTCCGCGTTTTCCATTATTTCTTCGCTCCTTATAGTCGCAGCGTGATGATATATATAGCCTAAGGCCTTCCTCGATAAATGGTCTATTCAACACAAAAATAATTTTTCAATTTTAACCAGTAGTTCCTGAGATTAGCGTTCAAACAAACAAACAAACGAACAAACTCTTCAGCTTTATAATATTACTGTAGATTATATAGCTAATAAAGTGGGCAGGTTCCATAGTAGCTTGCGTTTCAAATTCGCTACCTGCCCTACGATTCTGGAAAAATTTATATCAGAATTCGAATTCACTCAGGTGTCAGAATTTACTTCAAAAAGCGGCATCCGCTCAATCTTGAATTGGTAATAACGTTTCGTGACATAAGTGAAGTGAGTTTCGAAATGTCATAGGAAAAGAATATTTGAGACACGTATAATCAATTTTGTTTTGTATTTTTATACAAAAAATGGAATCAAAAGAATTTCTATATTAAATTACGTGAATTCAGACACTTGAGGGAATTCGAATTCGCGTCTGGATTTTTACAGAATCCCAGTATATGTGTAATTTAAAAAGATTTTTAACGAATATTTTTTTTGCAGGTCATTAAAATGTACGCCTGGGAGAAACCGTTTCAATTAGTAGTAAAAGCTGTGCGGGCACATGAAATGAGTGCTTTAAAGAAGGCTATCTTTATACGGAGCGTTTTTCTTGGCTTCATGTTGTTTACGGAACGATCAATTATGTTTTTTACGGTGTTGACTCTTGCACTATCCGGGAACATGATTTCTGCAACTACGGTACTTTTTCAATATCACTTAACTATGCATTCATCATCAGCCCTGTTACGGCTCTACTGCAGGGGCTCAGGCCTTCGTTATGAATAATTAAAGAGGATTCGCTATAACCCTCCAAACTGGCTTATAACCCTCCAAAATGCGAATTGGAGGGTATGAACAACTACAAGTGCAACCAGGACCAACATCTTCACGTTACCCGCCGTTAATTTTCTTCTTTGGTTTGGTTTTTTTTTTAGCCTAGGGTCGCCCGGTAGAGATTGCAATAAGGCCGCCTTTTATGTTACTGTATCTAGTTTAATGTACTTTTCGAATGTTTCTTAGTGAAGTAAAGAATATTCATATCATAACGTGCCTTTCGAAGCACGGAGTAGCTCGAGATAACAAATTTTTTGGTCACCCGATCGCGGGCCTTGGTGCTTATCCATTAGGTCACTCAGTTACCTATATTTACACATACAATTATTATATTGTTATAAATATATTATCGTTACAAATATTTGATAAGAAGTGATATGGATGAATTTTATCTCAATAAAAGTCTGATAGTAGTTCGTCATTTTTGTTATAAGCAGCGCAAGCGTAGTTTTGTGAACAATTATCCATAAATAATCTATCCTTAACTTTCACGAGCATCACAATATGACATACCTTTATACACGCTAATGTTGTTCAGAATAACTGCGTACAACAACTAAATTATTTTTTGCATTTGAGCTAACTAGAAATTCTTAATTTGTTAGAGTCGTCAAAAACTTTTGTGGTATTAATCAATAGCAATTATAGGTTCTATCACGCTTTTTGTATTCAAAATAATGATAGACAGACAGCCAGTTGCACAAACGTCCGTGTCATTAGTTAAAAGCGACATTACCCATTCCTATATGATATTCATTAGAGCTTAAAGGTCGTTTGTGCTGCTGTTTGTGTGTAACTGACCGTGAGACAATAGAAACACACTTCATTATTATTCTGATGTACACCCCTGTCCCTGTGTATGTCCACCTCCGCCTCCGTTATAATGGCTGTCTCTTTCTCCATCCACGGGATGCCTAGAAGAAGCGATAAGGTCGCCAATGAAGTTTACTTTATGTTTGTATCTGTATGTAGTGTATTGTTAACAATAAAGAGTTATCTATCTATCTACTTACGTGTGTGCTTTAATCTTTCTGTTAAGTCTCATTGCGTCTTTAATGTTGCATCCAAGATTGTTTACAAGAGGCTTATTATTATCAATTAGTCATTTATCTTCGTTATAAAATATTAACGAATTGCTTTATTTGTTTTTATTTTAAGGTTTACCCAATCCAGCAATTCCTAAGCACCATTCTGATAAATTTAACGATGATATTACCGCTTGCTATTGCGACATTATCAGAGATGAAAGTATCCCTGGAAAGAATACAAGGTTTCCTCGAGTTAGGTCAGTCAGAAGTAATTAACTTCAATCTATACTTTTATACTTTTATTCTTCTTGGACAGGAGTTTTCTTTGCAGGTATGTAAAGAAAACGGCTGTCCAATAAGAACAAAAGAACTTTTTTTTAATGTATGTCAACCATATTCCATTATATAACTTTATTTTAATTGTATAAAAATTTCATAATACTTTGCTTGCCATAAAAAATGTTATTTCTGATAATTCGTGCTTAAAATAATTTAAAACAATTACACAAAAAGTTCTGCAATATATTATCATATTCTTAATACAGATGAAAGAGAAGCACTTTCACATAAAAATGGTGTAAGCAATGGAGCTCTAAACAAAACCCTGTTTAGTTCCAAACAAGCGACCTTAGAGCCCGAGATCACTGTGAAAAAATATATTTCGACCGATGTGAAAGAGCCACTACAAAACGGTAAGATTTTTTTCAAAAGATTTTTGTGATGTATGTCTGTTTAAAACAAAGGCGCTTCCTGTAGTCTGTAAGCTTAGATCTTTTAAGCCACCATCGGATCTCAATATGTAATGTTTACATTGTTACGGGTTCGGTGCTTCGTCAATTAAATAGGCTGATCAGCTTGAGTATAATTTATTAATGAAATAAGGGTAATAATAAAAAACTGTAACAAACAAAAATAAATTTAAAAAAACAGTTCGTAAGTTACTTAAACTAATACATTCTTATCAAATAAACGAATACATACCCCTTGTCGGGCTTCTTGTTACACTTTTGATCGTACAAAATACAGATTTAATTTAGTAAATATGTTATATTATTGTATCACCATAATATATGAATTATTTAAACATTACATATTAAAATTTATACCAATAATATTGTATTATATTAGAATTTCATCTTGTGTATATGGGAATTTCTTACGAACTGACATCCATAAAGAGTATAATTGATTAGTCAAAATTTTAAATTACGAAAGACGAATAATAAAATGAAATAATGTTGAATTACAAAAACAAAAAGTTTGCATACTGAAACCTAGGAAAACAAACGGTGGCATGGCACACCGTTACAATACCGGGGGGGCCGGGGTTAAAAAAAAATCTGAAAGATTTTTTTTAGATATTCTTGGATTACTCAAGCTTAAAATATTTTATATAAAATTAATTAATGCTATCATGATTTAATTTAGAAATGGGGATGGTATATATAGTGGATAAATTACATTAGGCGATTTCCCTTTCATAAAATGTTCTTACTTCATCATTCAAACATCATTCAAACAATCTTTATCTTATTAAGATAAAAATTCCTAGCAATTAGAGGTAACTTGTATTTAAGAAAGATTATCTCTAATAAATCGACCTAGAAAATAGTGTAGGCTTCTTTAAAATAATGTCAGTCACCACCCGCTGACTTTAGGTGAATTGTGTAGTGTTGTTGAGTGTAGATGAGTGTGTTGTGTAAGTGTCTAAATGTAGAGTGTAGAATAATATACAATCGTAGTAATAAATAAAGTAGGTAATGCATTAGGTATAACAATACATTATGTAGTGTTAGATAGTAAGTAAATAAGTATACATAAGTACACAAAGAAATATTTTGATATTGGCTTATTTATAGTGTTATCAACCGCACTTTAAAATTGATATTTGACATTGGCTTGTTTATAGTGTTGTCGTCCGCACTAAATTGGTATTTTAACATTGGCTTATTTATAGTGTTGTCATCCGCACTAAATTGGTATTTTGACATTGGCTTATTTATAGTGTTGTCATCCGCACTAGATGAAAATAATAAATTATGATGACAATTAACAATAAGTATGAGTAGCCAAATAATTAAATGAAAACATTATGAATATTTACAGGGTAGTAACAATAAATAAATAAGTAATAATTGGTAACAATAAATAGATTAATAATGTTTAGATATGGGTTTAATATTTTGAATGTGCCAGCGTCCTAAAGGTTTATTTGACAAATCTGCTAAATCGTAAATTAATGGACTGACTTTGTTAGTTATAGTACATTTTGTAAATTTAGGTGCTAATTTGGATGAAAAATATTTATCTGAAGAACTAATAGGATAATTTTTCTTCCAAACTATGTTGCCTTTTTCAAATTCAAGATGTTGGTGGTGTTTATTATAATATTTCGTTGTAATTTTATGTGCTTTGTAAAGTCGTGATTGTACATCTGAAAAAATTGGGATCAAGGAGCCAATGTTTTCAGCATATACGTCTCTAGGAGCAAAAATTATTTCTTCAGTTAAATCTTTTGTATTGTATATGGAACCACAGGTAACTAATTCACGTCCGAATACTAAAAATGCTGGCGTGAATTTAGTAGTTTCGTTGACGGCAGAGTTGATTGCGAATTGGATTTTATTTAAATATAAATCCCATGTACGGTGATCATCATCAACGAAAGACGAGATTGCTGTAACTATAGTTTTATTATAACGTTCAACTGTATTTACTTGTGGACAGTACCTGGGAGTGAAAAATATTTTGGGTATCTTGTAAAAATTAAATAAATCTTTGAGTTCTTGGCTAATCATTTGAGGGCCATTGTCTAAAATTATAGTTTCAGGTATTCCATAAGTCATAAATACTAAATTGTCGAGAATATGTTTAATAATAGAAGAAGTAGCGCGTTTAATAGGGTAAATTAGGCAATATTTTGTAAAACAACAGGTAACTACGAATATAAATCTGTTAAGTTTATGAGAAATTGGTAAAGGGCCAATCAAATCGATTGATATGCACTGGAAAGGACGAGAACAATATTTTGGTTTACCCATAAGACCAATTGTGTGTTGGTTTTGATGTTTATAAGCTGCACAAGTATCACATTTAGAAATAAAGGTTGCTATATCTTTATACATTCCGGGCCAGTAATATTTATCTTTAATTCGATGGTACGTTTTAAAAGTTCCAAAATGAGCTGTCGTGGGCGTAGAATGATTTTGTGAAATAATACTGTTTCTGAGATCAAACGGTATCACTTCTTTCCAACTATATTCGGCGTTAAATGGTGTAGTGCTACGAGCGTATTTAAATAATTTATTATTTATTAAAATATAGTCTGGCGTAGATGTAGGATTAGACTGGCATCTTAAGTATAACTGATTGTACCAATCGTCGTTAATATTTGAAGTTTCGGTAATATTGATAGCGTTTATATGTTTAATACGGGATAATGTATCTGGAACTAAATGCTCTTTTCCTTTTTTGTGTTTGATTTCGAAATTGAACATTGAAAGACGAATGCTCCATCTGGCTAGTCTACCAGTTGGATTATCTAAATGTAAAAACCATTGGAGTGCAGAATGATCGGTATAAATGGTAAATTTTTGGCCGTTATCTAAATAGCAACGCCAATGTTCTAAGGCAGTAATTACGCTAAGTAGTTCACGTTCTGTAATAGAGTAGTTTTTTTGGGCACTGGATAATGATTTGCTCATATAAGCAATAGGTTTTTCAACTCCCTCAAAAGTTTGAGTGAGCATCGCACCTAAGCCATATGCCGATGCATCACAGTGAACTGCAAAAGGTTTTGTAAAATCTGGGCAAGTTAGAATTGGTGTGGAAACTAAAGCTTGTTTAATCTGAGTAAAAGCATCGTCAGCTTCTGAAGTCCATTTGAAAGGAGGTGTTTTTTTACTCGTTGACGTAAGTTTATTTAGTGGAGCAGCTAAAGTACTTAGATTTGGTATAAAACGTCTATACCAGCTCGCTGTACCTAAAAATTTCTTTACATCTTTTGCAGTCTTGGGTGGTTGTATATCTAAAATTGCCTTAATTTTATCTGGATCAGTCTGTAACCCTTTCTCATTGATAACATAACCTAAATATTTCAGTTCACTACGGAAAAATGCACATTTAGGATAATTAACGGTAATATTTGCAGAAAGTAACTTAGTATGAATTTTATTCAATAAATTAATGTGTTCCTCGAACGTTTTTGTGGCGATGACAATGTCATCAAGGTAACAAAAGACAGTGGTGTCAAAATCATTAGAAAGTAAATTATCAATAAATCGTTGTTGAGTAGCTGGAGCATTGGTCAATCCGAAGGGCATGACCTTAAATTGGTATGTTCCGCGGCCAGGAACGTGAAAGGAAGTCTTTGGACGATCCTCTAAACGTAAAGGAATTTCCCAAAATGCCTTAGCAATATCAATTGAAGATAAATATTTAGCATCCTTAAGGTTATCGATAATATCGGAAATGTAAGGTAATTTGTAGGCATCTTTTCTAGTAATAGAATTTAATTTACGGCTATCAACACAAAAACGCCATGTGCCATCTTTTTTTGGTGTAATTATCACAGGGTTAAGCCATGGACTTTCACATGGTTCAATGACATCAAGTTCCAACATCTTGTCTACTTCGTTACGTAGTGCCTTCTGTTTTTCTGGAGACAAGCGATAACACTTCTGTCGTATAGGAGCGTGATCGCCTGTGTCTATGTAATGTTCAGCCAAATGTGTTTTGCCTAATGGTAAGATATCAGTAGAAATATTTTTAAACCTTTGAATCATAGTATCTGCTATAGCTTGTTGGGATTCAGAAAGATTGTTAAAAGTATTTAAATGCATAGAATCAGTATTAATTAGAAAGGTAGGTAAATTTACATTTTTATGTAAAGTAATATCAGAAAATAAATGAGGAGCTAAATTGAATGTCTTCCAGAAGTCAATACCTAATATTAAAGATTCAGTAATATTTGGTATTATGTGTGCAGTAACATTAGAAAATTTGTTTTTATATAATACTGGTAGTTTTATTGTTCCAATAGAATGTATGCGTTCACCGTTTGCAACGGTACCTTGAATAATATTGTTATAATGAATTGTAAAACCATATTGTAAAAGCTGCTTATGAGCATTATTACCCAAAATTGTAATAGCACTTCCACTATCTAATAAACCATTTAAAATCAAATTGTTCACTTTAATTTTTATATATGGACGTTCTGTATCCGTATTATTATTAAAAAGGAACGTAGAAATTTTGTAAGATTTAAAATAAATTTTAATAGTATTGAGCCAATTGTTCCAATCGGTTTGATCAAAATAAGAATTTCCACATTCCTGCTTAATTAGTTTTTTGAATTTTTGCATATCGGGCAATTAGTAAAAATCACATCTTGTTTACCGCAGCGGAAACAAACCTTCTTTGTGCTAGTACAATTAGAAAGAGTGTGATCGTTGGTACGACAACGAGGACAAGTAATTGTTTGTTGTTCAATAACAGGTTTCGTAGTAATAGATTTCGAAGAAACAGCATAAACTTGAGCAGAATTATTGTTAGAAGTATTGGGGGGTAAATCGTAAAAATTATGTAAGTTTTTATTGGGTTTATTATAATTTGATAAAATATCAGAAAAATTCAGTGATTCGTCAGTTGAAACCTGTAAGCAGTTTTCATACCACTTACAAGATTCAAT